TTTTGAGGATTAAGGTACTGTAAATTACGGAAGTGTAATTTACTGTAGGTAAAGCAAACGTGGCCCATGATGCATGGTAAGTGTTTATATAAATATTTGGCTTAGCCCAGGCAGGATGACTCACACCTGTAATCCCAGCACTTTGGGAGGCTGAGGCGGGCAGATCACCTGAGGTCAGGAGTTCAAGGCCAGCCTGGTCACATGGGGAAACCCGTTCTCTATCGAAAATACAAAAATTAGCCAGGTGTGGTGGTGCGTGCCTGTAATCCCAGCTACTCGGGCCGCTGAGGCAGGAGAAGCACTTGAATTCAGGAGCCGGAAGTTTCAGTGAGCCAAGATTGCGCCACTGCCCTCCAGCCTGGGCAACAGAGCGAGACTCCATCTCAAAATAAATAAATAAATACTTATGCCAAAAAATGGGTGTAATAGTATATCTTGGTCCACTTTGGTCAATGTTTCTGGGGGAGCAATTCCCAGAAGCAGATTCCCAAGTCAAAGGGAAGGTTTACTCCTCATGCTCTTAACAGCCCAAGGTGGTTGTGGGGTGGTGGGGATAGTACTAGTGGAGCTCCCAGCCAGGGGTCTACAACACAGTCACAGTAAAAGCAGAGAGTCAAGAGGAAGGACCTGGGAAGAAGCTGACTGGGTTTTGATTCTTGACCTTGCTCTTTGCTAGCAAGTAAACCAACCTCTCTGGGCCTCAGTTTCTCCTTCCATAAAATGCGGATTTTTTTTTTTTTTTTTTTTTTTTTGAGACGGAGTTTCGCTCTTGTTACCCAGGCTGGAGTGCAATGGCGCGATCTCGGCTCACCGCAACCTCCACCTCCTGGGTTCAGGCAATTCTCCTGCCTCAGCCTCCTGAGTAGGTCGGATTACAGGCATGTGCCACCATGCCCAGCTACTTTTTTGTATTTTTAGTAAGGACGGGGTTTCACCATGTTGACCAGGATGGTCTCGATCTCTTGACCCTGTGATCCACCCGTCTCGGCCTCCCAAAGTGCTGGGATTACAGGCTTGAGCCACCGCGCCCGGCCTAAAATGCGGATCTTAAGACAAAGTGGACTTATTTAGCACACTGGCTTATATGACTTAATTAATTTTTATTAGAAACACAAAACACCTGCACACGATACAAAATTCAAAAAGCCCAAAAGGGGCCGGGCGCTGTGGCTCGCACCTGCAATCCCAGCACTTTGGGAGGCTGAGGTGGGTGAATCACTTGAAGTCAGCAGTCGAGAACAGCCTGGCTAATGTGATAAAACCTCAGTCTCTCCTGAAAATACAAAAATGAGCCAGGCATGGTGGTGGGCGCCTATAATCCCACCTACCTGGGAGACCAAAGCAGGAGAATAGCTTGAACCTGAGAGGTGAAAGTTGTGGTGAGCCAAGATTGTGCTACTACACTCCAGCGTGGGTCACAGAGCAAGACTGTCTCAAAATAAATAAATAAATAAAGGGCCATTTTATTATTATTATTTATTTTTGCTATTATTATTATTAGGGAGGCTAAGTTCTAGTGAGAGTGACAGCCCATTTAGCAGCACAGAATATGTCCATCCTACTGAGGCTGTTGCTCTCCCTGAGGCCAAAAAAGGAAATGAATAAAGAGGATGAAAAATGAGAAAAGCCCCTCGTGGCACTGGCAGCTGCCCTCCAGGCCAGCTGTCTTTTCTACACCTTCCCTGGGAAGCTGAGTCCTGCGCCTTTAACTGTCCACAACACGTGTAGCACGTACCAGAATTAACATCTGGACGGCAGCCACTAGTGGTTAAAGAGACAGGCCCTCTTTTTCCATGAAGCTTGGACAGGGTTCAAGTTTCAGCAATTTGGTGAAGGGAACAGCAAATAGAAACCAAAGGAGGGGAGGCAGGCTTTGCCAGAGTGAATCCTTTCTCCCAGAGAGGTCAGCAGCCTCCAAGATTGATTCCCACTCCTGACTTACAATGATTTTGGGCCATGGGACTCCCACTGCCCAAGGGTTTTCTTCGTTTCTTTTCTTTTTTTTTTTTTTTTGAGACGGAGTCTCACTCCGTCACTCAGGCAGAAGCGCAGCGGTACAATCGAGGCTCACTGCAGCCTCAACCTCTTGGGCTCAAGCGATCCTCCCACTTCAGTGTCCTGAGAAGCTTAGATTACGGGCGCACGCCACCACACCCTCCTAATTTTTTTTGTAGAGACAGGAGGTGGGCCGGGCGCGGTGGCTCAAGCCTGTAATCCCAGCACTTTGGGAGCCCGAGGCGGGTGGATCACGAGGTCAAGAGATCGAGACCATCCTGGTCAACATGGTGAAACCCCATCTCTACTAAAGATACAAAAAAATTAGCTGGGCATGGTGGCTCGTGCCTATAATCCCAGTTACTCAGGAGGCTGAGGCAGGAGAATTGCTTGAACCCAGGAGGCGGAGGTTGCGGTGAGCCGAGATGGCGTCATTGCACTCCAGCCTGGGTAACAAGAGAGAAACTCCGTCTCAAAAAAAAAAAAAAAAAAAAAAGAGACAGGAGGTGGGGGGGGCGGGGAGGGGGGAGTGTGGTGGTGGGGGGCAGCAAGTCTTACTATGTTGCCTAGGCTGGTCTTGAACCCCTGGTCTCAAAGGATCCTCCTCCCACCTCAGTCTCCCGAAGTGTTGGGATTACAGGTGTGAGCCACGGCACCTGGCCTCAAGGATTTTTTTTTTAATTCATGGTACATCACCACTGAGGTTATTCTTGGACTACTGAAAATACGGAGTTAGAGCTGGGTTCCAAGGCTGCCTTCCTTACTGTACTTCTGCATCAGCTGTGTGGCATCACAGATTGCTTCACTTCTCTGGGTCTGTTTCCTCATTTTGCAAATAGGGGCAATACTGCTTAATTAGCAATGCTGTTGTAAAGCAGGGAATGAGGGAGAGTTTTGAAAACTGAACCAGGGGCCAGGTGCAGGGACTCACTCGTGTAGTGCCAGCACTTCAGGAAGCTGATGGCGGATGTCTTGAGCTCAGGAATTTGAGACCAGCCTGGCTAACATGATGAAACCCCACCTCTACCAGAGAAAAAAAAAAAGAAAAAAAATTAGCCAGGCAAGGTGCATGTCTGTAGTCCCAGCTACTCGGGAGGCTAAGGTGGAAGAATCACCTAAGCCCAGAAAGTTGAGGCTGCAGTGGGCTGTAATCACGCCACTGTACTCCAGCCTGGGTGACAAAGTAACACCCCGTATCAAAAAAAAAAAAATGGAATCAGCCAACACGTGCTCATTCTCCTCCTTCTACTCATCCTGGCATTTCCTCCTCTCCAGGGGTCTGGAGTCTGAGGCTGCATCCTCCTGAATCCAAAACATCCGGTGGATTCTGGCACCAAGTCCCGTCTCCAGCTGCTGAAACACCCAGCCCTGGGTCCCAGCTGGAAGGTACAGGCCCTGAATACTGTTCCTTTTACTTGCCTTGTGACCTTGAGCTCGCTGCCCAGTGCCTCTGGATATCACTTGTGCTGTCTGTACAATGAGCACATCTCCATACAATGAGATGATTTCCAAGGTTCCCAGTGACTGACTTTATCTTTGTTTAATAGACATGGGGGAGGGATCTTGCTATAGTGACCAGGCTGGTCTGGAACTCCTGGGCCCAAGCAGTCCTTCTGCCTTGGCCTCCCAAAGTGCTGGGTTTTGTTTGAATTTTTTATTTTTATTTTTTTGAGATGGTGTTTCCCTCTTGTTGCCCAGGCTGGAGTGCAGTGGCGTGATCTTGGCTCACTGCAACCTCCACCTTCCGGGATCAAGCAATTCTCCTGCCTCAGCCTCCGGAGTAGCTGGGATTACAGGCATGCGCCACCACGCCCGGCTAATTTTGTACTTTTAGTAGAAACGGGGTTTCTCCCTGTTGGTCAGGCTGGTCTCAAACTCCCAACCTTAGGTGATCCACCTGCCTCAGCCTCCCAAAGTGCTGGGGTTATAAGCGTGAGCCACCGTGCCTGGCCAATTTTTTTTTGAATTTTACAAATAGTATATATTTATTGAAAAAAATGAACAATATAAATAACAAAATAACTACTTGGAAATAATATATCAAAATATATCTTTTTAAAAAAATTTTATTTATTTATTTATTTATTTTTGAGACGGAGTTTCGCTCTTGTTACCCAGGCTGGAGTGCAATGGGGAGATCTCGGCTCACCGCAACCTCCGCCTCCTGGGTTCAGGCAATTAATCTCTGTAGGATATAGTGGCTCAGCCTGTAATCCCAGCACTTTGGGAGGCAGGAAGATCCCTTGAGCCCAGGAGTTCGAGACTAGCCTGGGCAACATAGGGAGACCCTTATCTCCACAAAAGTGGAAAAATTAGCCGGAGGTGGTGGCTCAGGCCTGTGATCCTACCTACTCGGGAGGCTGAGATGAGAGGATCGCTTGAGACCAGGAGGTCGAGGCTGCAGTGAGTGGGGATTACGCCACTGGACTCTAGCCCGGGAAACTGAGCGCAACCTTGTCTCCAAAAACTGGAAAGAAAAAAAAAAGCCCCAGAAGCAAGACTTTCTTTGGCTCAAAGGTTTGCCTCCCAGACACACTAAGGCAGATCAAGTGATTGCCTTTTGGGGATTGTGGGGTGGAGAGTGGAGAGGTGCTTTCTGCATTTGCAGCGGTCCGGGTGGACCACAGAAGGGTGTCCGTGTCTCTGAACGCATCCCTACCTACCCTCACCCCTTGGGTTTTGGGGAGGACTGCTGAAATCATTAAAGCTGACTTCCTTGGGGCTTAACCTGGGGCTGCTCTAAGTGCGCTACAGGCAACGTCATTAACCCGTGCAGGACCCAAAGAACAGATGCTATCAAAAGCCCCACTTTTCGGGAGAGCAAACCGAGGCTCACGGCTATCGATGCCATGGAGCGTTGGCGCGGAATCTGGGGTCTAGAAATGGTGGCCTCGCCCTCCTCTCACCGCCTTCTTCCTGGTCGCAGTAAACCCCCGCAGAGAAGGGAGGGAGGAGGCAGGACCTGGCGGAAGCCCCGGGAGCTGCACGGACGGGCGGAGGGAGCTGCCTGCACTGGGAGCGGCCCGGGCTAGGGCACGTCTGCAGAAGAACCCTTCCCCCGGGGCAGGCGGCCGGGAGGGCGGGGCGGTGCCGCCCCCGGGGCGGGCCCAGTGCGTGGCAGCGGGACCTGCGGCCCCGTCGCGAAGTTTCCAGCCCTGCCAGCGTCGCCGGGTCGGCCGATAGTCCCCAGAACCCGGCCATGCGGCCCCTGCTGCTCCTGGCCCCGCTGGGCTGGTTGCTCCTGGCCGAAGCGAAGGGCGACACCAAGCCGGAGGGTGAGGGCTCGAAGGGCTGGGGGCGGGAGCGCGGATCCGGGCGGGAGGGCCGGTCCCGGGGCTGTCCCCCTGGGTACGACCTGAATGAGAGGCCTGGGCTGGGGAGGGAGTCTGGGTTCCTGCTCCTTGTCCACTTACTCGCTGGTGGCTTGAACAAATCGCTTCCCCTCTTGGGGCTGCGGTTCCTGCTTCGGGAAGGAAAGGGTGACAGCTGAGTCCCATTCAGCACAGAAAGGCTCAAATAATAATAGTTCTCATAATAACAACCGCCAATGGCTACTCTGCGGAGCGCTCACTATGGGCCAGGCATCCGTTAGGCATGATTGCCGTCCTGGTAAGTGTTTCTTTCTGTTATCCTCGTTTTCCAGCTGGGCAAACTGAGGCTCCAGAGTTCATTCACTTGCCCAAGATCACACAACTTGTGGGCCTTGGAACCAGGACTTACTGCACCCACCCAGGTGTCTGCTTCCAGAGCCGGGAAGCCTCATGACCGTGGGAGTGAGGGGTCTTAAAGAGGACTAGGGACGGATGGGGTGGAAGGTGTAGCTCACTTTGTGGAGTAGTTTGCCCTTTCACCCATGCCCCCTGTGCTGTGCTCAGCCCCTGCCAGGCTGGTCTTCCTCGCTGCAGTTTGTTTATTTATTTATTTTTTAAATTTTATTTAATGTATTTATTTATTTATTTTTGACACGGAGTCTTGCTCTGTTGCCCAGGCTGGAGGGCAGTGCCCAATCTCAGCTCATTGCAACCTCTGCCTCCCAGGTTCAAGTGATTCTTGTGCCTCTGCCTCCCGAGTAGCTGAGACTGCTGACATGAGCCACCATATCCACCTAATTTTTGTGTTTTTAGTAGAGACAAGATTTCACTATGTTGGCCAGGCTGCTCTTGAACTTTTGACCTCAGGTGATCCGCCTGCTTGGGCCTTCCAAAGTGCTGGAATTACAGGCATGAGTCACTGCACCCGGCCCTCCCTCCAGTTTATACTTGAGAAAACGGAGACCCAGACAGGTGAAGTGACTGTCCAGGGTGGTCCAGCCGGAGGTGACTGGTCCGAGGTCAGCTGGACTCCAGTCTAGTGCTCCTTCAACTTCCTAAAGGCAGATTGGCTTGCAGTATGTGCCCCACTGTCCTGAGTGGGTGCTGCCTACCTCCTCAGCCCTCCCTGGCATTGGCCATCTCCAGGGCTGTCCCAAGAAGGGCACAGACTGTGGACAGTCCCAGCAAAGCCAAGCGGAACTGGCAGTACCTTCCATGGCATCTTCCTCCTTCAGCCCAGCCTCCTGAAGAACTTGGAACTGTACCATCAGAAGGATCCCAGGTTTTGGGACCCTTTTTTTTTTTTTTTTGAGATGGAGTCTCACTCTGTTGCCCAGGCTGGAGTGCAGTGGCACGATCTTGGCTCATTGCAACCTCTGCCTGCCAGGTTCAAGGGATTCTCCTGTCTCAGCCTCCAGCGTAGCTGGGATCACAGGCATGCACCATCACGTCTGGCTAATTTTTGTATTTTTAGTAGAGACAGGGTTTTGCTGTGTTGGCCAGGGTGGTCTTGAACTCCTGACCTCAAGCGATCTGCCCGCTTCGTTTCCCAAAGTGCTGGGATTACAGGCATGAGCCACCGCACCCGGCCAGGATCCCTTTCATAAGTAAGGAATCATCAACCGAATTTTGGAGATGGGAAGATTGAGGCCCTGGAAGGTTAAACATCTGGTCTCTCGTTGCCAGAGCTGGTTGGAGGTGGGGGCATCATCTGGAACTCAGACCTACTGTTCATTTCTGCACCTCTGGATGGGAGGGGGGTGCTGTTGCCTGGAAACGCTGCCTGGGGAGCCTGCTCAGCTCCTCCAGACCCAGCTGAGGTGTGACCTTCAGCCAACTGGATGGGAGGACAGAGTGAAATGCCCGTCTTCCCTGCAGGCCTTTCCTGAGCAGCCCACTGACTAGTGTGTGTGTTTTGGGGGACACCCCAGCAGCCCCCAGAGAGGCCAGCTCCTCCCTTTCCCTGGCAGGTGGATGGGAGGGCAGCTGTTGAGGTGGATTCATCTGGGGGGGAAGGGGATTTGCTGTAGAGTCTTGGGGAGTGAGGTGGGTGGGGTGCCGTTGGCAGCCAGTCTGTTCTCTCACCCAAAGCCCATGGCCTTGGTGCATGGAGAGAAACAGGGACCGTTTTCACTTTTAGGGGGCTCCCAATCAGAGGGGGGCACAGAGCACCTCACCTCAGTAGACACCCCATGTCTGAGGGAAGAGATATTGTGCATCCTGGCGGGGGGGAGGGGGCTTCCAGAACAAGGTGGGAGACAGAAGAAGGCTTCAACAAAGCAACATCTTCCATCACAGGGAACTGGGGGAATAAAAGGCATCATCCGGCCGGGCGCTATGTCTCACGCCTGTAATCCCAGCTCTTAGGGAGGCAGAGGCGGGAGGATAGCTTGAGCCCAGGAGTTCGAGACCTGCCTGGGCAATATAGCGAGACCCCGTTCTCCACAAAAAGGAAAAAAACAAAAAGACAAAAAAAAAAAAAAAAAAAAGGCATCATCCAAACAGGCAGATGTCCCTAGAGCCGAGGCCAGATGTCCCACAGCCCTTCCTCCTATTTGTAGAAACCTCTAGCAGATCTCCAGCTCCTGCCTTTCCCTATAGGCCTTGGTTTGGCCACGGTGAGGGACAGACAGCTGCGGAGATCAGCGACTCAGCTGGGCTGGGGTGGGGGTTCAGGTGGTGCTGTTCCCGACTAGAGAACAGAAGGGTCCCAGGTGTCAGGCTGCACTGAATGGTGTGGGCATGGGGCTGGGGTTGGGGAGACCTAAATGGGCAGCTGGCCCCGGGGAGGCCAAGGTTAGCTCCCAGGTGCTGGGCATCCCCATCTCCTGCCAGACACTGTTCCTGGCTTAATTTCAAGCCTGGGGTGGGGACGGAAGATGGGGGAGGGGGAAGGGAGAAGGGCTTCCTTCATTCCCGCCTCCCCAGGCAGCAGACTGGGTGTGTCATGACTGTGCCTTGACTCAGGCCACACAGTGACCACCCACGCCTTGGGCTGGGACTGCTTGGGGAGGAGGGGCATCAGCTGGCACAGTCAAACCAGGGGTGTCCAGAGGTCCCATTCTTCCAGGAGCTCATCACATGGGCACACCCCCACTCTCAGTCTCTCCACATCATTTTTTTTTTTTTTTTTTTGAGACAGTCTTGAACTCTCAGGCTCAAGTCTTGCTTGCCCAGGCTGGAATGAAAAAGCGCAATCTGAGCTCACTGCAACCTGCATCCCCCGGGGTTCCAGTGATTCTCCTGCTTCAGCCTCCCGAGCAGCTGGTATTACAAGTGCCTGCCACCATGCCTGGCTAATTTTTGTATTTTTTGTAGAGATAGGGTTTCCTCATGTTGGCCAGGCTGGTCTAGAATTCCTGATCTCAGCCGATCCACCTGCCTTGGCCTCCCAAAGTGCTAGGATTACAGACGTGACCCGCTGTGCCCAGCCACATCATTCTTTTCTTAAAAGTTTTATTGGCTGGGCGCAGTGGCTCAAGCCTGTAATCCCAGCACTTTGGGAGGCCGAGGTGGGTGGATCACGAGGTCAAGAGATCGAGACCATCCTGGTCAACATGGTGAAACCCCGTCTCTACTAAAAATACAAAAAATTAGCTGGGCGTGGTGGTGCGTGCCTGTAATCCCAGCTACTCAGGAGGCTGAGGCCGGAGAATTGCCTGAACCCAGGAGGCGGAGGTTGCGGTGAGCCGAGATGGCGCCATTGCACTCCAGCCTGGGTCTCCAAAAAAAAAAAGAAAGTTTTATTAAATTTTTTTTTTTTTTTTTTGAGGTGGAGTTTCACTCTTGTGACCCAGGCTGGAGTGCAATGGCGCGATCTCGGCTCACCGCAACCTCCGCCTCCTGGGTTCAGGCAATTCTCCTGCCTCAGCCTCCTGAGTAGCTGGGATTACAGGCATATGCCACCATGCCCAGCTAATTTTTTGCATTTTTAGTAGAGACAGGGTTTCACCATGTTGACCAGGATGGTCTCGATCTCTTGACCTTGTGATCCACCCGCCTCGGCCTCCCAAAGTGCTGGGATTACAGGCTTGAGCCACCGCGCCCGGCCAGTTTTATTAAATTTTATTTTTTTGTACAGACAAGGTCTCACTGTGTTGCCGAGGCTGGTCTCGAACTCTCAGACTCAAGTGATCATTCCTACCTTGGCCTCCCAAAGTGCTGGGAGTAGCCACTGCACCTGGCTAATTCCTGTGTCCCAGTGGCATGATGATAGCTCACTGCAGCCTTCACTTCCTGGGCTCAAGTGATCCTGCTGCCTCAGCTTCCTGAGTAGCTGGGACTAGAGGTGCATGCCACCACGCCTGGCTAATTTTTTTATTTTTTGTAGAGACAGGGTCTCACTTTATTGCCCAGGTTGGTCTTTAACTCCTGGCCTCAAACAAGCCTCCTGCCTCGGTCTCCTTAAATGCTGGCATTACAATTGTGAACAACGCTGCCTGACCTCTGCATCATTCTTGCTCTCAGGAAGGCACCTCCTCATTATTCCTGACCCCCAGGGCAGCACCTACCCAGGCACAGCTCCCCTTTTTAGGGGAGGCTCCCTGTCACCAGAACCCCCACAACCACCAAGGCAGGCACTGTGCCAAGTGCTTTATGGCATCAGCTCATTGAATCCTCGTGAAAGTCTCTGGAGAGAGATGCTATCATCTGTATCATTTCCATTTTACAGATGAGGAAACTGAGGCACAGAGAGGCCAGTTCCCTGCCCAGCAATCTGTCTTTATATACCCTCTGCTGTCTCTTATTGATTTCTACTGATCCTGGATCACGGGTTCGTCTGGGGAAGTCATTGCTGGACGTTGGGCAGGAGGTGGGGAGGGCTGAGAGCTCTGAGTGCCAGGCCTTGGCCTTAGCCCAAGGCAGGCTGGCTGGACTAGACAGAAAGCAGGTGGGAGGAGCCCTAGTGCTTGAAAATGAATCTTCCATATCCGTGCCTTATGGGTTGCTCTGGCCAGGCCTGA